ACTTTCCTTTCAGTCACTAAAACTCTCTGATGATAGTAGTAACATCAGTTTTACCATACACGTGGAGAAACAGCCATTGAGAAATTAAGTGTCTCACCCAAGGTGACATATCTAGTTAGTTGTGAAACTGGAAATTGAGCCCCAAAGCCATATCCTCACCCCCGCACCATGCTGCCTCCAAAATACAATATTGAAGAATGGCAACAAATACTGTTATTTTCACAGATGACAGTCTAAACACCACTGCGCAGTGAGGACAAAGGCATGACATATTTTAAACTCTGTTTTTGTACACAAAAAGGGAAGAAGAATAAACAAAGAGAAATTCCCTAGAGATGAATGGCCCAGAGAACACAAATCAACTTGAATGTGTTATCAAAATGGCAGCCAACAAGTTTCCATTGTGTTTGCCTCTAGTAGTTAAGTATGAAACACTGACTAGCACATTCAATAGGCAATGAGATTTCCCATTTTATTTCTGAGACTCATTGTATTTCTTACTTCTACATTGAGTACTTGAAGTCACAACTGAAGGAAGGTAAAGTCTTAAGAGTAGAAGGTTACAGAGCTGACTGGAAACTTATAATTCAGTTCCAAAATGTTGGAAGTATAGAGATGTTTTGTACATATTGCAAGATCTACTCTGATCCCTTTGGCAGCAGAAACATAAGGCATCCAAATAGTTCTAAACAAATGTGCTTGAATTTAGAGACTTTTTGAAAATCCTGTACTTCTTGGCTTGGAGCTAATGTTTATATCTTGCTTACTTTGTGCTGGGAACTGTTCTAAGAGCTTTTCAAATATTAACTCAAATATTAACCCTCTCAACAACCCTATTCAGCAGGCAGTATTATTATTATTCTACATTCCAATTTAGATTACTTGGATCATTACATAGCTGAGGGTGCACAGAGAGGTTAGGTAACTTCCCCAAGATCACACAGGTGGTTTATGGTAGAACAGGATTTTAAACTGAAGCAGTTGGTTCCACACTCTATGCTCTTAACTACTACCCCAGAGACCCTGCTAAGTAAACCTACCTCTCAGGGATTCAGGGATACTTTAAAAAAAAACAAAACAAAAACAAAAACAAACAAACAAAAAACTTTGGTTTTAATGTGATTTTAAAATACGTGTCTAAAGTAGAATCTGGTTGTTACATTAGTAAAATGTTGATGCTTTCTTCTAAAAAATAAAAATAAGGGACAATTTTGATAGCTTTGGAGAGTCCCTGTGATTAGAGACCATGTGGACTAAATCATTCAACCCATGTTTTTCGTATTACTCTGCAGCAGTGGTTCTCAAGAGGTTTGGGGGAACGGCGCAGATTTTGCTCCACAGGGGACATTTGGCAATGCCTGAAAACATTTTCCACTGCAGTGATTTGGGGGTGGGGGGTGCTCCTGGCGTCCAGTGGGCCGAGGCCAGGGCTGCTGCTAAACATCCCACAATACATAAGACAGCCCACACCTAAAGAATGATCTGGCCTCAAATGTCAAAAGAACTGAGGTCGAAAATCCATGTTCTATGAGAATAAGAATTTAAATTCTGATAGAATTTATCTACTAGTTAACACACTAGTGCTAGTTAAGAATATACACAAATAACACAGACTAGAGGAGAGGATGCTAGATGTTAGTGGTGAGAGACAAGTGGACAAATAGTTATAAAACTATGAGGAATGTGCTGGAACAAAGACTGTGCAGGGTGCTGAGAGGTACCTGGGACGGACAGGCACAAACTCAGCCTTCTCAGTGACTCTGGAGCTGCGTATTCTAGACTGAGGAGGCTGAGTTTACCAGCAGATAAGAGCCTGCAGAGCAGAGGAAAGGGCAGCCTGGGTTTGTTTTGTTTGGCGTTGTTTTATTTGGCTGCTAACTCCTAGAAATCTTTTTCACTCTGGCTGGCCTTAGCGCCTGTCTTCTGTCTTGTCTCTAAGACTTTCCCTTTTTCATCCTTAAGGAGTCCAGTGGGAAACTTTTGGAAAACCCAAGTTCATGCTGAACCAGAATTGTGAATTTTTCAGAAGATCTCCATGGAGGGTAGAAAGACTCAGCAAACCCCGTTCAAAAGCAAATGATCTTTTAAATTTGTTCGATCCTAGATTAGGACAGAGTATTCAGACTGTAGAAAGTGGCAGGGTGATGTGAAAGCTCTGATTTATCTGGGAGCATTAAAAGCTTTAAGGGAGCAAAATAGAGCATCACGGTAAAGAGCTAAATGGTAACAACAAGAGAAGCTTCTCCATTCCTTCCAATCAGTTTTATAAATCAAATGGATGAAAAGATTACTAAATCCTCTGGAGCTAAATGTTCTCCATTATTCTATTTGCTTTTCAGCCTCCAAAGGGGAGAGGTTAAGCCAAAGGGTTTTAGAGTCTGAGCTGCAGATGGAATGTGAACAGGCATGTGACTAACCCGCCTGTCATCGTGATGACCTGCTTTGGTTGTTGTTATTGTTGTAAACATGACATCCTCTTCAGCAGAAGTTTACATTTTTAGAGGGAAGTTTTGGGGTTCCAAGTTTTCTCTGAATCCTCACTTTTTACAGAAATAGAGGAGAGGTAATTTGCCACATGGGTCCCCCCAAAACCAAGGTGATCTTTCGAACCTTTATTCCCAAAGTTCAATTTCAAAGCCAGAACAGTGCAGGAGTGTATACCTTTGAGGAAAGCGGCAGTTTGTTCTAATCAAATTGAATTTGTCATTTTCGTGAAACCTTAGGTTTCCTTCATTTTAGTTACTTTTTTGAGCGTTGACATGGAGGGGTTTGGTGATGAGGCTGGGAGACAGAAAGAGTCATCATCCATTTGTCACATTGCCCCCACTGCTGAGAGTTTTGGTCCATGTTGTTCATTTTCAGTTTGTACATACAAAGTGGCTCGTGCAAATAGATTGTTGATGGAAAACAGTGTCTTCTTCATGGGCAAAGGAGGCATCAAAACCACAAGCTTGAGAGCCTTTCTGCTTTTTCTTGGGATTAGTTCTGGATCCCTCAAAGAAAACCGTGGGCTACGAGGACCTACCAGTCCACCGCATATAACATATCCAGAAAACAGTTCCACAAAACAGGAATTGGTTCAGAATTTTGCATTGTGTACACTCAGATTGATGTTCTGTCTCCTTTTAATATAGGGAAAGATTGTTCCCAACTATGAGTAAAAGTTTTTAAAATGAGATCCTTCTACTATTAGAGATCTTTTAAAGTTCTTAGGTTTTCTGGAAGTGAGGGAACATGAAGACCCACCAGATAAACACGTTTGGCATCCTATACAGAGCTGCCAATGAACTGCTTTCCTTAGCGTGGAAAAGAAGGTTGAGACTGAAGAATAGTCTGAATTCTCCATGCATTCCAGCTTTCCAGGTCCAGGTTTTCCTTTCATGTTTAGATAAAACAGCTTAGGGCTCAATCACACAGGCTCTAGGAAGCCTTGCACTCATCCTAAAATTTCTGAGAATTCCCAGTGGATTACTTTCCACTTTCCAGAGGTTGCCTGCCTCTTCTTGCTCCCAACTCCAGACTGGGCTCAGGTACTGTGGGTCTCCCTCCTCCTAGGTCATATCTAGGCTTCTGAACACCTCTGGAATTACCAGCTACCATTCAATTCACACAGACACCTTTATCCTGGCTCCTCATTTTCTAAGTCCACAGAGTTCCTAAATTCTTAACTTTAGGAAGAGGAGGGAGAGGAGAAAGGGTGACTCAAGGGTGTTTTTTTGTTTGTTTGTTTGTTTGTTTTTTTTTTTTATCACAGGTGAGTTACATCCTTTTGTTTCACCCCCTCCATTTCAGATCATGCACAGGGCCCCAACTCCTCAGTGAGGGAGGGATCTATCTGGGGCTGTACTTTTAGCCACACGATGTTCTGGGGCAAACTTTTGAACTCAGGTTTTCTTTAAAGGCTTTATTTGCTTCCTGATCCTGAACACATCCTTGGAAAAAGGAAAGGCCATAAAAAATATATACTCCCACCTCCTTTCAGATGAACTACTAGGAATCAGCAATTAGACCCTTAAACACGGAAATTAAAGGTTTTCACAATAACAGGTCAAACTTAATAGAATATGTTTCCTAAAGATGGGGATCTCAGTCTCATTTGTTTAATTTTGTATCTTCAGCGCCTTGAACATGACTGGCATATAGTTGTGCTCAAACATTATCTGTTGAGTGACTAACTGAATGAATGAATAAATGACCAATGGATATATTTAAGATTCATTTGTTTGATAAGAACTGATTGAGCTACCAATATGTGGCAGGAACTGAGATAAGCAATGTGGACCTTAGACAAATGGAACAGTACGGTCACTTGCCCCTGATGAGCTTCTGATTGAGTAGGGAATCAAGACACATACACAAATTGCTTTAGTCAAAGGGAGACCTTGGAGATCACATGATATAAGCCTAGACAAGAAATAATGGTAGAGCACAGCGGAGCAGATGGGGAAAAGGACTCTTAAGTCAGATCAGAAATCCATGGAGTATGACCGGGCATGGAACTCACACCTATAATCCCAGCACTTTGGGAGGCTGAGGTCGGTAGGTCACTTGAGTCCAGGAGCTTGAGACAAGCCTGGGCAACATGGTGAAACCCCACGTCTACAAAAAATACAAAAAAATTTAGCCAGGCATGGTGGTGTGTGCCTGTAGTCCCAGCTACTAGGGAGGCTGAGGTGGGAGGATTGCTTGAGCCTGTGAGGTCGAGGCTGTAGTTAGCTGTGATAGTGCCACTGCACTCCAGCTTGGGGAACAGAGAGACCCTGTCTCAAAACAAAACAAAAAAAAGAAAAGAAGAAGAAGAAGAAAGAGAAAGAAAGAAAGAAAGAAAGAAAGAAAGAAAGAAAGAAAAGAAAGAAAGAGAAAGAAAGAAAGAAAGAGAAAGAAAGAAATCTGTGAAGTAATTGGAATTCCTCTTGCTAGATAGGGGTTTTCCTTAAGTTATAAACAAATAATAACAATCCCTTTGAAGCCATATTTTCCGAAGGCATTACCGTTTTTATAAATGGTATACTCTTTGATAGATTCTTCAATAGATATTAATATTTTAACTATTGTTTTCCACAATGGCACTTCAAAAATATGCTATCCTTTTGTCCACTAAATACCATTTCCCAAAGCAAAAACAAACGACAAATTCATAACAAGGTGAAAATGTCTATAGCAAATCTAGTCTTCCATCCAAAGAGAAGTGGCAGCTTTTATGAAACCATAACCTTCTCCCTTTTCTTGAAGAAAGGAAATTGCTCTAGTTCAGCAGGTGAAGAAATGGATACTCTCCCTTCTTAACTTACAGAGTTAACCAGCAATATTCAAAAAAGGGAGGCACTGACTGCTGACGATGGTCAGTATAAGCCTGTGTAGTCCCGTAGGCCTCTGGGAATAATTAGCTCAACAGTGGACTGTGAAACACACACTGCTTCCTTCCTGGTTGCTGTTTGTTCTGCTCTGAGCTCCAACCGCAGCCCAATTGTTACCTATGGAGGAGGACTGGGGTCATGTTCTCAGGAAACTACCAGTAAGTAAATAGGCAGAACTCTTAGGAGCAGGGTGTGATGTAAGGACTTTTCGGCAGGTGAGCCTGTCCCTGCTATTTCTACCTCAAGTCTTTTTCTGTTGTTGTTTTTAACTCAGTCCATTAGCTGTAAAGGGGAATCAGTGATATGGACAGATGTTATAAGAAGCTTGTAAGAAATTCTTTATCTTTTTCTTTCCTCATTTGGTAATACTTTTGGGTTTGTCTGAGAGGCAGCTGAGTTTTCTCTCAATCAGATTGTCGAAGCCAAAATAAAGTATAGAGATGAATCTCTAAATTTAACATTTTATTTTGGGAAGCAGGGATTGCAGTTCGGGGCATACACACAGACTGGGTGGCCTTCGGTATGTCTGAAGAACAAAGAGAAGGTTGTGAGTTTTATTAGAAAGAGAGATGTTATGTTATCATTTTGAAAGAGAGCTTATTGGCACTAGAGAAGCTTTTGGGAGCTGGCAAGCTCTGATTGGTGAGTGGGTGTTTGGATGTTTGTCTCCTCCAAATCTTGTGTTGAATTGTGATCCCCAATGTTGGAGGTGGGGTCTGGTGGGAGGTATTTGGGTCATAGGGGGCAGATCCCTCATAAATGGCTTGGTGTCATCCCCTTGGTGATGAGCAAGTTCTCACTCAGTTAGTTCCTGCAACATCTGGTTGTTAGAGTATGCCCTCCTTCTCTCTCTCTCTCTCTCTCTCTCGCCATGTGACATGTGTGTTCCATCTTTGTCTTCTGCCATGAGTAAAAGCTTCCTGAGGTCTCACCAGAAGCCAAGCAGATGCTGGTGCCATGCTTGTGCAGCCTGCAAAACCATGAGCCCAATAAACTTTTCTTTATAAATTACTCGGCCTCAGGTATTCCTTTTTACCAACACAAAATGGACGAATACAGTGAGTGACTGCGGTAGGTAAAACCAGTCTTGGAGTCACAGCCGGTTGCTTCAGCAGCTGGGCTTGTAGAAAATTCAACTCTTGGAGCAGCGGCTATGTTCCCCCACTGCTTTTTCCCCCTGGCCCTTGATGCTGATTTAGTTGGGCATGACAATAATGACTCAATTTGTATAATGAGCTTTCACAAGATATCGCCCCTTACACGGGGCTGCAAACTGGCCATGTGGAGGACTTGCCCAGCCAGTTCTCACCATGTCGTATGGATATTTTTCTAAATAGATCTTATTTTATTTTATTTTATTTTTGAGATGGAGTCTTACTCTGTTGCCCAGGCTGGAGTGCCGTGGCACGACCTTGGCTCACTGCAACCCCCACCTCCCAGGTTCAAGCGATTCTCCTGCCTCAGTCTCTTGAGTGGTTGGGATTACAGGCGCCCACCACCATGCCCAACTGATTTTTGTATGTTCAGTAGAGATAGGGTTTCACCATGTTGGCCAGGCTGGTTTTGCACTCCTGACCTCAGGTGATCTGCCCACCTCGGCCTCCCAAAGTGCTGGGATTACAGGTGCGACTCAGCCACATCCAACCCTTAATTCCTTGTTCTATGATTATAGCAGCATGAGTCTATTATAAACATTTTAGAAAATACAGACTAGCATAAAGGAAAAAATATAAATCAGCTACAAATTAAAAGCCCAGTGTAAACTCTGCTAACATTTGCTAACATTTAGTGTCCAATCTTCCAATCTCATTCCCCAGTGTGTGCGTTTTTTGTTTGTTTTGTTTTATTTTGAGTAAATACAGGTGTCTTGATATGTTGCCCAGGCTGTCACAATGGTCTTGAACTCCTGGACTTAAGCAATTCACCTCAGCCTTCCAAAGTGCTGGGATTACAGGCGGGAGCCACCACACCTGGCCTATGTGTGTTTTTTAAACAATTGAGACCATTTTGTGTATGTTGCTTCTTCTTTTCTTTCCTCATTTGGTAATACTATATTGCTGTTTAAGAACTGTTTGAGGAGTCTGATGACATATGTAGAAAGGGAATAGGTGATTAACCACGAGGACAAGCTGGTGTTGGTGACTGGAAGTCAGGAGAGACCATTGCCTGGCATCTCAGAGCCCCCAGGAGTGCCCACACCTCAGGGCACACAAATGAATAGATTTATATCAGAGAAGTTTCAGCCACACTCACCAACCAACCCCCAGGCCCTCTTTCACTGGCATCCTAATCCAGGTTGCTTCATAGAAGTCAGCTTACAGCCACACCTTTCCCCCTTAAACTTTTTTTGAACTTGAACTTCCAGTATAATTAGAGTTAAACCATCCCAGCAGCATAAGAGGAACGCTTGGAGGAATGGATAAAGATCCACTTGGCATATTTATGATTTTTCAAACCTTCCACAAAGATGGTGGCAGACATTTTCTTAAGTGGTAGAGATGTCAGAAATTTTATTTTTAAAAAGCCTTAACTCTGACTGGGTGCAATGGCTCACACCTATAATCCCAGCATTTTGGGAGTCCAAGGTGGGTGGATCACTTGAGGTCAGGAGTTCGAGACCAGCCTGGCCAATGTGGTGAAACCCCATCTCTACTAAAAATACAAAAAATTAGCCAGGTAATGTGGCGCGTGCCTGTAATCCCAGCTACTCAGGAGGCTGAGGCAGGAGAATTGCTTGAACCCGGGAGGCGGAGGTTGTAGTGAACCGAGATCACGCCACTGCACTCCAGCCTGGACAACAGAGCAAGACTCCATCTCAAAAAAAAAAAAGAAAGAAAGAAAAAAAAAAAAGCCTTAACTCACTGTTCTCATTTTGTTCCCATTTTATAGTTTATAATTAATGGAAAGTATGAAGTATCAACCAAATCTGCTCAAACATAGCCATGCATAAGCAAATCCTTTTTATGTTTAATAACTGAAAATGATTCATCAAATTTTATTAGATGGTGCAAATGCTTAGGTCACTTAGAGCTTCAAATGGCTCCAAAATTTTCTCCCACTCTTCCCCCACCAACTTTTTTTTGCCAGTTGTATATTTAGTAAGCATGCCATACTGAGTGTGGATTGGAGACACTTTTTCCTGTAGGATTTTTGCCCTGTATAACGGAACAATTACAAGGGAGATGATTTGATATATAATAATTTATTATGATAAAATATTTTGCCCAATGATTAATTTTTTGGGGAGCAATGGGCATGGAACAAAGCTGCAAGAACATGAAAAGGGTCATCTGTTCACTTTTTAAAGAAATAAAGCTAACACAGTTGAGCACCTACCGTTTCCAATCTCAACTCCTTTAATCTTCACAGCACTATAAGATAGATCTCATTATTACACCCAGTTTAAAGATGGTAAAACTGAGGCATGAAGAGGTTAAATAATTTAGCCACAATAGAAAGAGGCAGAGCCAGGATTCAAGACCAAGTTGTCCAGTTCTGTAAACTCTGCCTCTAACCACTATTCTTACTTGGTCACAGACGCCTCAGCTATAAAAGGTCTTGAAAGGGTCTCTGTCTGCTTCACTCATCCAGCAACCACTCAAGAAATACTTATGAAGCACTTATTGTGTGCCAGGCATTATACCTGACCCTGGGACCCTGGGAACATAATGATCAACATACTGTCATGTAATACCTGCCCTCAAGGAGTACATTCCACTGGGGTAGACAGTTAAGTAAAAAAGCAATTATAATACCACTTTACCTTCCAACAGAATCCAGTTCAAGCCATTCTAGTCAGATCAAAAGCAATACTGTTTTTTAAACTTGGGAAATAAATTAGATATGCAAAGATACAGGCTTTTCTCCATAGAGTATACCTGACTACCCAGCACATCATGAATTAATTGACCCCTGAAGGCAAGCTAGGTAAGTGCCCTTGGGGCCTTTTGTGTTGCTGGAAGGATTATGTGAAAACCATTTTTATGTGTCAATTATACATTTTAAAAAACTAAAACAAAACAACAACAAAAAACCCACAAAAAGCCAACCTAGGATTTGCACCATAGAGAATGAGAGTGGATGAAAACAATATTAGAGAGTCTTCCTCCCACAAAACTCAACAAAATCATAGACGATAGGTAAGCCTGTCCCTGCTATTTCTACCCTAAGTCTTTGTTTTTTTTCTTTTTAAACTCAGGCCATGAGCTGTAAAGGGGAATCAGGGATGTGGACAGATGTTATAAGATGCTTCTAAGAAACTCTTTATTAAAAATTCCAAACATGTTATATTTTTCACCATCACCAAACACTTCCCTTCACTCTTCTTTCCTATGAGAGCAAGTCCTTCCATTTTTGGTATCCAATTTGGCTCTTCCTGAAATAGGTTACACCCCAAGTTGCTGCGTGATGCCAAATTGTTGATTGTAGTTTACGGTGTCTCCTTGAAACATGCCATATAATTACATAATCACATCATAGCTAATCTGGTTTATTGGAAGGCCTCTGGATAGGGCTGTTTGGCTAATCATTGTCCTGGAAAATCTGTCTCCTAGGATACTTCTCATACCCACTTGTAGCAAGGAACAAATACAGAGGTGGCCAGCTCTTCCACCCAGACATTCACCCTTGGTCTTTTGTAGATTGTTGTAACTAAGGAAAGGCTAGGGAAAGGGTGCTCTCGGCAGGATTTCTTGAAAGACGTCACCATTGAGCAATTGCTAAAGATTACTCAGAGCCAGCAGATGGAGCAGATAAGAAGGCCTTGATGAGGTTTTTGGCCAGTTGTGATTCCACCCTGAATTTAAGACCTGTTCCCTCTGATCTTAGGAAAAACCCAGAACCTCTACTCTCTGCTGATACTGGAAAGGGGAGGGCAGGATTTAGGCTTATCATGAACTCATTTATTTTTCCTTTAGCCCATAAAGCCTGATCTTTCCTGCAATCAAAACATGATGGAAAAGCCTAGCAGGCTATTGCAAAAGTATTATGTTTTCTTTATAGTTCATCTCTTGGGATTGCATTTTACTCTTGATTTTACCAGGCCCTTCCAAGCACGGGTGGAGGGGCGGGGGTGGGGGAAGCATCCTTCAGTTCTACTTGAAGGCATAAGAACTGAAACCTCCCCACTTTTTCTTGGAGAGTAGAAGGAATGTGTTTG